TCTCCACCTACAATGGTCTGTAGATGATTGGGGGGGGTCTCCACCTACAATGGTCTGTAGATGATTGGGGGGGTCTCCACCTACAATGGTCTGTAGATGATTGGGGGGGTCTCCACCTACAATGGTCTGTAGATGATTGGGGGGTCTCCACCTACAATGTCTGTAGATGATTGGGGGTCTCCACCTACAATGGTCATGATGGGGGGTCTCCACCTACAATGTCTGTAGATGATTGGGGGGGTCTCCACCTACAATGGTCTGTAGATGATTGGGGGGGTCTCCACTACAATGGTCTGTAGATGATGGGGGGGGTCTCCACACCTGTAGATGATTGGGGGGGTCTCCCTCACAATGGTCTGTCCACCTACAGATGATTGGGGGGGTCTCCACCTACAATGGTCTGTAGATGATTGGGGGGGTCTCCACCTACAATGGTCTGTAGATGATTGGGGGGGTCTCCACCTACAATGGTCTGTAGATGATGATTTGGGTGGGTGTTGGGGGGGGGGGGGGGGGGGGGGGGGGGGGGGGCGGGGGGAGGGGGGAGAGCTTCCTGCGTACTCGCTGGATTTGGTGCTCCAGGCTGGGCGGTGTCTCCTGTTCCCTTGGTGACTGTGGTGTCCCCTCCCCCCAGGATCCGCTGACGGTGGTGAGGGAGCGCTGCGAGAAGGCGGAGCAATGCGTGAAGGCGCGGGAACAGTTGGAGATTTGTGAGACTCGAGTCAACTCCCGATCCCACACCGAGGAGGAATGTGTGGAGGAATTGTTCGACTTCCTGCATGCCAGGGACCACTGTGTGAGTGAGGGGGAGGGGCCTCTGAGGGGGAGGGGAATAGGCTGGGGTCATTGTAGGGGGTGGGGACCTCTGAGGCTGGGGGGGAATCCGGATCATTGTGTGTTGGGGGAGGGGAATAGCCGGGTCATTGCATGTTAGGGGCAGGGCCTCTATGAAGGGGAGGGGAATAGTCGGGTCATTGTGTGTTGGGGGTGGGGCCTCTATGAGGGGGAGGGGAATAGTCTGGGGTCATTGTAAATGTTGGGGGAGGGGAATAGCCTGGTCATTGGGGCGGGGCCTCTGAAGGGGAGGGGAATAGTCTGGGGTCATTGTGTGTTGGGGGTGGGGCCTCTGAGGGGGAGGGGAATAGTCTGGGGTCGTCGTATGTTGGGGGAGGGGAATAGCTGGGTCATTGTGTGTTAGGGGCGGGGCCTCTATGAAGGGGAGGGGAATAGTCTGGGGTCATTGTATGTTGGGGGAGGGGAATAGCTGGGTCATTGTGTGTTAGGGGCGGGGCCTCTATGAAGGGGAGGGGAATAGTCTGGGGTCATTGTATGTTGGGGGAGGGGAATAGCTGGGTCATTGTGTGTTGGGGGCGGGGCCTCTATGAGGGGGAGGGGAATAGTCAGGTCATTGTGTGTTGGGGGAGGGGCATAGCTCGGGATTCTCACCCCTCCTCCCTCTCTCTCTCCTCCAGGTCGCTCACAAGCTTTTCAAACATCTGAAGTAGATGCTGTGCGGTTGGTCATGTGGCTCCGCCTTCTCTTTCCGGCTCCTCCCATCCATCCCCATGGATTGTGCTGTCCCTGTCCTGCCTGTGGGCGGGGACTCTGGGCTATGATTGGTGAACATTGACTGTTCAGTGCTGAGGAGGCTCCGCCCCTCTTCAATAAACCTGTGCTGTGATTGGTGGAATCTGTCATTTTTTTTGATGCGTATAGAGGAGGGGCGGGTACAAGGGGTCACCAAATGGGGGGAGGGGTACTGGAGGTCATAAGGTCAGAGTTCACAGGTAAAGCCAACGGTGGCGTCTGCACAGAGATCCACCCAACGCCTCCCCATCCTCCTACCGGGAACCACATACCCCGAGCACACGCATGAAGGAGGTGGGGGAAGGCTGCGCATGTCAGGGAGGTGTATAGAGGCCGGGGGCTGACCTCCTCCCACCCCCCACCCGTGTGTACGGAGGCCCGGGGGCCGACCTCCCCTCCCCCCCGCGTGTGTACGGTGCAGGCCCGGGGGCCGACCTCCCCCCTCCCCCCCCGTGTGTACGGAGGCCCGGGGGCCGACCTCCCCCTCCCTCCCCCCCCAGTGTGTACGGGGGCCGACCTTCCCCCCCCCCCCCGTGTGTACGGGGGGCCGACCTCCCCCTCCCTCCCCCCCGTGTGTATGGGGGCCGACCTTCCCCCCCCCCGTGTGTACGGAGGCCCGGGGGCCGACCTTCCCCCCCCCCCCCCCCGTGTGTACGGAGGCCCGGGGGCTGACCCCCCCCCCCCCCCCTGTGTGTGTGCGGAGGCCGACCTCCTCCCCCCGTGTGTACAGAGGCCCCCCCTCCCCTCTATACACTGGGATTGGTGATGACCCTCCAGGTGGTGGCGCTGTGTGTCCCCTGCAGAGCTGCACTACCTTGACCTGGGCCGTGTGATCACCTCCAGCCAATCAGAGATCTGATGATGGTGTCCAGCAAATACCTGCGGCTGTGCAGTCCCAACTTTTCCCACCCCGTGTCCCCCTGGAAGACGCCATCACATGGGAAAATGGATTTCCTGTGTCCCTGGCAGATTACAGTAGAACTGAAGCCGTCTCCATGTGGGGAGATGCTGGACTCTGCATACCGTCTCCTGAGAGAACACGTCTCGGCGTCCCTTTAGCCGTGCATTCCCCTCCCTGCCAGGGCTGCAGACCGTTATCTGTGCAATCTGCTGATCAGGTGCTCTAGAACAGTGGTTCTTAACCTTGTTGGAGGTACTGAACCCCACCAGTTTCATTATGCGCATTCAACCGAACCCTTCTTAATTGGAAAAATAAAATATGATTTTAAAATTCAAAACATAGGTATACAGTGGGGCAAAAAAGTATGTAGTCACCACCAACCCACCAATGGAGCAAAAGTTTCTCAGCTCCCACTTACAGAGATGAGAGAGTGCCTGTAATATTGGCATCAATAGGGAGACCTCAACTATGAGAGACAAAATGAGAAAAACAAATCCAGACAATTCTCATTGGCTGATCTGGAAAGAATTTATTTGCAAATTATGGTGGAAAATAAGTATTTGGTGACCTACAAAAAGCAAGATTTTCTGGCTCTCACAGACCTGGACCTTCTTCTTTAAGAAGGCTCCTCCGATCTGCACTCATTTACCTGTATCAATGGCACACCGGTTTGAAACTTTGTTATCAGTATAAAAGACACCTGTCCAACCTCAAACAGTCCACATCCAAACTCCACTATGGGGAAGACCACAAGAGCTGTCCAAGGACACCAGAACAAAAAATTGTTGACCTGCACCAGGCTGGGAAGACTGAATCTGCAATAGGCAAGCAGCTTGGTGTGAACAAATCAAACTGGTGGGAGCAATAATTAGAAAATGGAAGACATACAAGACCAACTGATAAATCTCCCTCCATCTGGGGCTCCACTGCAAGATCTCACCCGTGGGGTCAAAATGATCGCAAGAACGGTGAGCAAAAATCCCAGGACCACACGGGGGGGACCTAGTGAGTAAGACCTGCAGAGAGCTGGGACCCAACGTAACAAAGGCTACCATCAGTAACACACTACGCGCCAGGGACTCAGATCGGCTGCAGTGCCCCAGACCGTGCCAGAGTGGCCCACTGCTTAGGCCAGTACATGTCCGGAGGCCCGTCTGAAGTTTGCTAGAGAGCATTTGGATGATCCAGAAGAGATTGGGAGAATGTCATATGGTCAGATGAAACCAAAATAGAACTGTGTGGTAGAAACACAATCGTCGTGGTTGGAGGAGAGAGAATGCGGATTGGCATCCAAGAACACCATACTACTGTGAAGCATGGGGGTGGCAACATCATGCTTTGGGGCTTTTATCCACACAAGGGACCAGGATGAACTGATCCATGTACAGGGACAGAATGAATGGGGCCCATGTATCGTGAGAGTGCAAACTCTTCCACAGCAAGGGCATTGAAGATGAAACGTGGCTGGGTCTTCAACATGACAATGATCCCAAACATACGCCCGGGCAACGAAAAAAAAAAGGGAGGAGGGGCTTCGTAAGAAGCATTTCAAGGTCTGGAGTGGCCTAGCCAGTCTCCAGATCTCAACCCCATAGAAAACCTTTGGAGGGAGTTGAAAGTCCAGTGTTGCCCAGCGACAGCCCCAATATCATCACTGCTCTAGAGGAGATCTGCATGGAGGAGGAGATCTGCATGGGAGGATGGGCCAACATACCAGCAACATGTGTGTGCCAACCTTGTGAGGACTTCCAGGAAAGTCTGAAAACCTCTGTCATTGCCAACAAAGGATAAATAACAAAGTATTGGTGACATGAACTTTTCATATTCACCAAATACTTATTTTCCACCATAATTTGCAAATAAATTTCTTTCCAGATCAGCCAATGAGATTGTCTGGATTTGTTTCCTCATTTTAGTCTCTCATAGTTGAGGTCTACCTATGATGCCCAATTTACAGGCCTCTCATCTAGAACTGTACAGTGGGAGAACTTGCACAATTGGTGGTGACCTAAATACTTTTTTGCCCCCCTGTATGTTTATACATAGGTGCACAAAATGAAACAAACCGTTAAAAACACATGATTTTCACACAAAACAAAAAAAACATAATAATGAATATTTACTGCACGAATCATATGAGTCGGGTGTGTGGTCTTCACCTCCGCCCGAACCAACCGAGACTGACTCACCGAACCCCTGGGGTTCCATCGAACCCAGGTTAAGAACCACTGCTCTAGAAGCTGCGGTGCCCGCGGGGGAAGGGTCACTCCCACTATGTACACTCGTACCACGCCCTAATGATGATAGTCAATGTCCGAACACCGACCACTGACACCACCAGAGACCCGATACACCACAGAGACCATACAGACGACACCAATCTGTCCGAACACCGACCACTGACACCACAGAGACCATACAGGACTAGACGACACCAATCTGTCCGAACACCGACCACTGACACCACAGAGACCATACAGGACTAGACGACACCAATCTGTCCGAACACCGACCACTGACACCACCGCTGACCATACAAGACTAGACGACACCAATCTGTCCGAACACCGACCACTGACACCACAGAGACCATACAAGACTAGACGACACCAATCTGTCCGAACACCGACCACTGACACCACAGAGACCATACAGGACTAGACGACACCAATCTGTCCGAACACCGACCACTGACACCACAGAGACCATACAGGACTAGACGACACCAATCTGTCCGAACACCGACCACTGACACCACAGAGACCATACAAGACTAGACGACACCAATCTGTCCGAACACCGACCACTGACACCACCGCTGACCATACAGGACTAGACGACACCAATCTGTCCGAACACCGACCACTGACACCACAGAGACCATACAGGACTAGACGACACCAATCTGTCCGAACACCGACCACTGACACCACAGAGACCATACAGGACTAGACGACACCAATCTGTCCGAACACCGACCACTGACACCACAGAGACCATACAAGACTAGACGACACCAATCTGTCCGAACACACCAACCACTGACACCACAGAGACCATACAAGACTAGACGACACCAATCTGTCCGAACACACCGACCACTGACACCAAGACCATACAGAGACCATCTGTCCGACACCACTGACACCACAATCTGTCCGAACACCGACCACTGACACCACAGAGACCATACAAGACTAGACCACACCAATCTGTCCGAACACCGACCACACTGACACCACCGCTGACCATACAAGACTAGACGACACCAATCTGTCCGAACACCGACCACTGACACCACAGAGACCATACAAGGACTAGACGACACCAATCTGTCCGAACACCGACCACTGACACCACAGAGACCATACAGGACTAGACGACACCAATCTGTCCGAACACCGACCACTGACACCACAGAGACCATACAAGACTAGACGACACCAATCTGTCCGAACACCGACCACTGACACCACCGCTGACCATACAGACTAGACCACTGACGACACCAATCTGTCCGACACACTGACACCACCGCTGACCATACAGGACTAGACGACACCAATCTGTCCAAACACCGACCACTGACACCACAGAGACCATAGACAGACTAGACGACACCAATCTGTCCGAACACCGACCACTGACACCACAGAGACCATACAGAGACTAGACGACACCAATCTGTCCGAACACCGACCACTGACACCACAGAGACCATACAAGACTAGACGACACCAATCTGTCCGAACACCGACCACTGACACCACCGCTGACCATACAAGACTAGACGACACTAATCTGTCCGAACACCGACCACTGACACCACAGAGACCATACAGGACTAGACGACACCGTCCGAACACCGACACTGACACCACAGAGACCTATACAAGACTAGACGACACCAATCTGTCCGTCCGACCACTGACACCACAGAGACCATACAAGACTAGACACACCAATCTGTCCGACCGACCACTGACACCACAGACCATACAAGACGACACACCAATC